CTTTAAAGCTGAATTTGGTAGATATGCTATTGGAATCAGGAAGTAGACCTTAAAATTTATACAACATTGCACCTCCTAACAAAAGAATTTTAATAATTCTGATACAAGGCCTTCTTATTCTAGTTACCCCATTTCCTTGACCAATAATACAGTTAAAACTGAAACTTTTTTAAGATTCATCTTTTCTTGCTTTTTTATCCAAAGCACTAATATGTATGCTATTAAACAGTGATTAGAACCTCTGTCAATATTACTGTTTCCAAATTCATCAACAGGGGTATAGTCAACTTCTAACTTTTATAGAGAAATAATTTGAGCAGATCTATTTAAATTTTACCAACGAAATTATTGCCATGTCATCAATTCCAGTGTTTGCCCAAAGCCTCACAGTGCTGAAGGATTACCCTATTATCTTATTCCCTATTATCTTATTCCCTGTAATCAGGAGGAAGAACTATGAAGTTCAAGCCTGACTTTTGAAATTCTGAGCCTCACATCCATTTTTTCATTGAGACTTTTTTAAAATGTCCATGGACAACTATCTAAATTTGGAAATTACTAAATGTTGCTCTCCAATAAATGATAGTAAACTGAAGAGACCTAGTTACATGACCTTGAACCTCTGCTTATGAAGTGCCCATGCTGGCTTAACTTATTTAAAATGTTTAAAATATTTATTTATCTCATATTTTAGTGCCTCATAATGTAATCACCATCAAGAAAAATAATTCATAGAGTGAGATTATTGTCCTTTTAATGCATATGTTAAAATTATGTAATTTTTTAAAGAAAAACCTGCATGAAAGCTTGGTGAACTTAACAAGTAAATTATTCTTTAGTGTGTAGTATTTGCTTATACAACTTTCAGTTATGATTAGGGAATGGGAATATTTGTCAGCAGAACTGTCTTGCTGAGAACCTTGTTTTTTTTTCCTTGATAAAACATTATAACTCTGAATGCTCAGAAGTGAGGAGAAAGCCTTGTTGCTTTACCAGGAGACCAGCCTAGTTACAGCAACAGAGATATTCATTCACTTGCATGTAGGCAGCTCAAACCTTGCATGAAGGCTTGTTGAGAATTTGTGTTGTTGGTGAACAGGTTGTGCCCCACAGGCTCTGTGAGGAGCACACAAGGAATCTGGAATCTGCACTTGCAGTGCTGTTTTCCTTGGGGAACCCTGAGAAGAACCTCCGGATCAGAATCAGCTGCAGTTTTAGAGAATAAAGGCTTTTAGGGGATGTTTTTAGAATTAAGAATATGCTAATTTTATTACATGAAAATATTTGTAACTTTTCCTCCTGATGAGTTTCTCAATAAAATGTCTATTTTAACTTGCACTGCCAATGTTTTTGAGTAATCTGTAGTGCGCACATCACCAGAGAACTTTTCCTGTGGTTTTCATTTTCTTCCCCTCCCTCTCTCCCTTCCCCTTCCTTCCCCTCCCTTCCACTTTTTTTTTTCTGCTGCTGTATGTTGCAGTGTCTCGCACCATGCATATGCTTGGTGGTGGATCTGCACAGTGGGCTTCACTGCTCAGGGGCCCAAGTTTCCATGCTACCTTGGTTTCTGTGCTCCCCTGGGAGGCATGCTTTGTCATACATTCTGGTTGTGGTGTGCGCTGGGTATCAAACTTTTTAGTTGTGGGGCTGGCACATACCTCACACCCTGGAGATTGCAGTGTTGCGGATCCAGGGCCCCAGACATCAGAGCTGCCAAGGTGAGGACTGTGGGTGCATATTTGCAAGGCACGTGTTTTTGACACTGAGCCTTTCTGGGGGTCTCTATAAACTATCAGGGTTTCCTTAAATGGGTGAAGAAGAGATTCTCTTCTCCATGTGTGAGCCTATGGGATCTGTGCCCAGGGCCTTGCCCACTCATACACTCAGTAAACACTTTGTTAATGAGACAACATAACATTAGAGTCCTTTTCATGTGTTGGGTTTTGGGGGACCTTGGGGGAATTGTTTTGGGGCTACTCCCAGTAGTGCTCAGGGCTTATTCTTGGCTCTGCACTCAGGAATCACTCCTAGTGGCGTATGGGGGACCATATGGGGTGCCAGAGTGGCCAGCCTACATGCAAAGCAAGTGCCCTTCCGCTATACTCTCACTTCAGCCCCCTTTCACATGTTTCTTAACTTTTAACATGCAAGGTCATAGCTGGAGGGGGGGGGGGTAAAAAACGCTGATATAATTTTGCATATAGCCCTTTTATAAGCCTCAGCTTCGGTGTGGTCAAGCACTCTTCTGTTGTTCTTCAGGAGTAAATTCTGTGCTCTACTTGTACTTAAACTTCAGCTTTAAAGTGTGAGGTAAGGAGTACCTGAGACTTAAAGAATGATGATTAACAGTCAGCAAGTTTCCTTGTTATTTTAAAGCCTTAAATTTGTTACTTTTCCTCTTCTTTTTCCTTGGTTGTGGCTGTAGTTAGAATGATTGGGGGTTGAATGGCATGCTGTCCCCACACTTAGCTGTGGTGCTCACCAGGCATTGCCCTGATTGCTCTTGTCTTGCCAGGGCTTGCACAGCGGTGGTGCTTGTACATCCCTGCCTTCGGTGAGCTGGACACCACACACATTGCTGGATCACCCCGGGTTTCAGACGGGAGGGCTACTGGGATCGAGCGCAGCCATGTCAGGCTGTCTCCCAGGGATTCAACTCTAAGCCTCATGCCGGCACAGCACACACTCTGCCTTTGCTACTGAGCTATTCCCAGGCCCAAGGATCAGTAAGTTTCCTCAAACAAGCGTGAAACTATTGTTTTCTATGTCTGCTATGCAGAGAATATGATTCTTGTCCTATTTATAGCTCATATCAGGTAAAATATGAAAGAACTTTAGATAGTACATTTAAAATATTAAATTACTTTGGATGTAGGCTAAGTGATAAGTGATGGTTAAAAACTTCCCAGGATGAGAAATGTTGTCACCTTTCTTTAGGAAAAGGTGTTAGTAATTCATTTGGTTGTTTTCGTTTGGAGGCTCTACACTCAGGATTATACTCCCGGAATTGCTCAAGTGACTGTATGGGATGCTAGGGTCAGCCATGTGCACAACCTGGGTCAGCCACGTGCACACACCATACTGCTAGACTACCACTCTGGCCCCCATTAGTAATATTTCTTGAATATGTATGATACAAACCTAAAACAATTAAAACATCCTCTCGCTTGAGGCTGGGATATGAGATCTGAGATCCGAGCCTCAGGGATCAACCCCCCACAGCTCACAGTTCCCAGCAATGCTGAGTGTGGCTCAAATGCCAAAAAATATTAAAAAGGAAAATAAAAAGAAAGAAAAAACAAGAAACATTCACTCTGTAGAAATTGCTTTGGGCAAATGTTACAAATACGAAGTAAATTTCTGAAATTCTTAGCTGCATAATTATTTTTTGGATAAAATTCTAGTTAGAGATATGTATGTATGTATGTATGTATATATAGAGAGAGATATATACATATATATATGTTTCACAATGATCCAAAACTGCTTTCTCTAAAATACTATTTATTAATTATTCTCTAGTTGATCTACATAATAGTAAATAATAAATCACACTTTTTAATTTCAGCTGCTTTATTTTGTACTCTTAAGATATACATGAAATTTCATAAAATGTTAGATAAAAGCTTATACTTAGTACACAATAAGTTACTCATATAAGTTCCAACGCTTAAATAGCTTTATTAGATTTTTAGACGAAAAGAATCTCCTAAATCATTTCATAGATTAATTCACATCTCTATAATAACCCTTGCCTTCAGCTGGGGAGTTCACTTTGAATAAAACAAGTTGACCTCAGATATACGACTATCAAGTGATACTGATAAATTGTCCAGCTGATTTTCTCAAAGTCTGAAGACCTCGAAAGCAAAGAAGAGGCCTGTGTAAATCTTTCTATCAGTACATGAGTGTTCATTTAACAAATATTTATTGAATACCTATAGCTACGAGAGACCCAGGGTTAAACACCGAGTACAACAGCAGAACCAAATATGGTTTCTAGCCTCAAAAAGCTGTTCTGTGAGCAGATGTGAAATATTGCTGCTACACTGTTATCAAGACAAATGTGGTTGTGAGAGTAGCAAGAAAAATCACTTTGCATCTAGGGAAAACTAGGAGGAAAATAAGTTTCTGCAAAACTCTGAAAGATGAGAAGAACTACTAATGTCAAGTGAGTGGTATAAGCAGAGGTTACAGCTATGACAAAGATACTGGGCGCTTTTAAAGGTTTAAATGTAAGCAGATTAACAGGATTTTGTTGGTAATTACAAAGGAGTGGGAATGTATCGTAAGGATAACGAGTCTTTAAAAGAGATCTCGATTCAACAAAAAAGAAAATAACCTGATTTCTAAAACAAGGAACGCTCTGAACAGATGCCTCACTAAAGAAAATATCCAGATGGCAAATAAGCATATGAAAAAAGATACACTACCTCATATGTTGTCAGGTAAATGCAGATTGAAGAAAAATACCACTACACGCCTCCTAGAACGTTCAAAATTTCTAACAAGGGCAATACCAGATGAAGGCAAGGATATGAAGGAACAAACGCTCTCGTTTATGGCTGATGGGGATGCAAAATAACAATCACTTTGGAAGAGACAGGCAGTTCCTTACAAAACAGCATATTCTTACCATACCATGGGACAATTTTCAACTTTGAAAACATGTCCACACAAAAACTCTGCTCAAGTTTATTTAAAGCCAATTATAAAATTGCCAAAATTTAGAAGCAACCAAGATGCACTGCTCTGGATGAATGGATCAATAAACTGGTAAACTGAGAAAATGTATTATTCAGTACCAAAAAAAAGAAATGAGCTGGAGAGACAGTACAGCGGATAGGGCACTTGCCTTTCTCATGGCACTGACATCCCATATGGTCCTCCAAGCACTGCCAGGAGTAATTCCTGAGCGCAGAGCCAAGAGTAACCCCTGAGCATAGTCTGTGTGGCCCCAAAACAAAAAACAAAACAAAGGAAATAAATGAGCTGTCAAGTCATAAAAAGACATGAAGGAACCTTTAATGCACATTGTAAAATTAAAGAGCCAATATGGTGAAGTTACATTCTTTACAATTCCAGCTATGTGATATTTTAGAAAATAAAAATTATGGAAACGAAAATATTAGTTGTTGTCAGGATTTTAAAAAGGAAAAGAGAGGGCTGGAGAGATAGTACAGAGGGTAGGGTGCTTTCCATGCACACTGCAAACCCTAGTTTGATCCCCAGCATCCCAGGTGGTCCCTGGTACACCCAAACCAGGTGTGATGCCTAAGGACAAAGCCATGATACATGATCAGGTGTGGCCCCCCTCTCCCACAAAAAAGGAAAAGGAGCAGACCGGGAGAGAGCTTAAGGGGTGGAGACCATGTTTTGCAATTTGTTCTACAACACTGGTTGGGAATAGCCCCACATACATAATTCAATAAATAAAATGAGGAGGGGTGAAAAAGGAAGATATAGGGGATTTTTTAAGCATTTAAAGTGCCTTGCATAATAGTATAATTGTGATTACATTCATTATTCGTTTGTCCAGCCCATAGTGTAGATAAGACCAAGGATGAACCTTATAGAATATGGACTAGAACCTGTCATATAGGTTCCTCAAAACAACTAAAGCAGTACTGTGATGTGGAATATTGCTAGCAGAGAAGGCTTGGAAGGGAAGTGGCAGGGAGAGGAGTTACTGGGAACCCTGGTACTTTCTCTTCAGTTTTTTCTAAACCTAAAACTGCTTTTTTAATGTTTCCCTACATCCATCAATAAACCACATATCCTTAGTTCCCTCATACTAGAGAGACAGACAGACAGACAAACAGGCTCACTGGTCGGCCAGGTCTTGATAAAAACATTCTGCGTCTTGATAATAGTAATAGAAGTGCATTTACAGAACTGATACACTATAATAACTGCATAAATGTAAAACCTTTTGATAGATTAATATTTATGTGGAACACAAAAAACCTCACTTAAGGCAGTATCTTTATTATTGAGAAAATCTGCTTACTGTAACTGAGAAAATTACTTGAGGATACTATATAATTATAATAAACATAATTTCATATATTATTTTGATATTTTATGCTTTATGTAATATTGAATAATTGTGTGATTTTCAAAAGTATATGGCTAAAAAATAACACGTCTGTTACCTAAAGTAATACCTGATTACCCCAAATATATATGTCTAATTCTAATGTTGTTTTCTTTCCTGATTATTTTGGCAAGACTACATATGTGGTTTTTTAATAGTCAAAATATACCTAGATGATCTTAAAGAATAATTGGATCTCTCAAATGGCCTTTTGTCATTTGCTAAAGGTCAGAGTCTGACTTCAAGGAAAATCACTGACCATATATATAAAACCACTAAGGATTAATATTTGACCTATAAATTCTAATTTCATCTTGTGTACACTGAGAAAAAAGATTAACAATTTTATTCACATCAAGATGCTTGCTTTGAAGAATTGATTCCATCTCTTTGAATAGTTCTTTCTCCATTTTCTTCATGTTGTCCAACACTGTTTGGGCTTTTTCCTGAACAATAAAAAAATTAATACATGCACACATACACATACATAAGTATAAACCAAATTCCAACCCAACTATAGAGACAAGGTTTGTTTATTTTGGTCTCCACTTTTCATTTGGTTCCCCTCATCCTAAACCTTATAGAAAAATGAAATCCCTTAGGAAAAACCATCATCCTAGATTGCTTTAATGTGTTGACCTCATATAATCAATTATTTTTCATAGAAAAACATGAACTATTATGTACTCTCAGCAAAAAACCTAAAAGATGTTTACTGGGGGAAACTGGAAATTGAAGTTCATTTGCTATTACAGACTGTGCTGTGCCAAGTTTGGAAGACAAGACAGGACCATGAAGGCGATGAATGCTGCCCCTGGCCTCTGGAGTGGGCCTGTCAGTGTGCTTAATGGGTGCCCAGAACAGACACATGACTCTCACTCCAGGTCATTAGGTTACCAAAAAAAAAAAAAAATCTATGTTTACACTGTATCTCAGAACTAAAAACACACAGGTGCAGATGAAGCAGGAAGGTGGGGTGGTAGCTGGGGGAGGAGGGGTTGAGGGGTGGCACATGGGACTCTGCTACAAACTAAATAATAGTTATATTGACAAATTCAATGTAGAAAGAATAAAAATGTATATATTCTGATGAAGTAAAAGGAATAATAGGCAAAAAAAAATAACCACCAAGTTTTAAGCCTCAAATAGTTGGCACCTTAATACAGATCATATTACATGTGAACTACAACTAAATGGATGTTTGACTTTGAATCAGGAGCTAGAAACACTTGAGAAAGGTTATAAAATGGCCAAACTTTTTCTTCATTGCAGGATATCAATGATGTTTCTATAAAAAAAACCTTTATTAAGCACTTCTATTCCATCTAATCTATTTGATGTTCCTGTAGCAGAGAAGGAGACTAGAGGGAAAGCTGACTAGGCATGGCATGGATATTATACACCCTTTGTCTGAACACCCATCTGGCAAATACATGTGTGTGTATATATAACTATACACATACATATATGTATATTAATGTGTGTATATATGTATACACACCTATATGTGTACACACACATGCACATACTTGGTTTCAGAGATGAGATTTGGGCTATATTCATCTTCATTTACATTTAGAATAACAGGCATTTCTATTTTGCAGGGCTGGGTTTGGGGCCACACCCTGAAGTGCTCTCAACTCGGGTTTCTCCCAGCAGTACTCAGGGGTCCCTGCAGTTCCAGGAATTGAACCAGGGCAGCCTCATACAATACAAGCCCCCAAATCCTCTATTATCTCTCCAGCTACAGCATTTGTCACTTCTGTAAAACTCATTCACTATTTTAAGTCTGTGGGATGCAAAGTCACTTTCAATAAAAATTAATCAGGGCCTAAAGAGATAGGACAGGAGCTAAGGAACTTGTCTTGCATGCTACTGATCTGGATTTGATCCTGGGCACCACCAGGTGTGATCCCTGAGCAGAGAGACACAAGTAAACCCCGAGCACCACAAAGTGTGGTAAAAATAAACCCAAAATATGAATTAAATTAATCTGAGGTTGCAAAGTTAAGAATATCATATAACAGACTAGGTTAGATGTCCTGTGGCCTTTGAATTTTGTTTGCTGGGACCATTTATACTAAGCAATCTACTTAAGTGCTTACACTAAGCATTTAACATATGAAAATATGTGATATATATGCATCATTATATTATCTGTGGCGATATGTAAACGCTCATGCTACATATTCTACTTAAAACTCTTGTAGTCTCAGGTTCAGAAAAATGCAAATAATTGCCTATTCATAAGGTAGCTGTAAAATTAAATATTTCATGTAATAGTACCATGGTACATGATATATACAAGCATACAATAAGTGTTAGCTATTGTAGTTCCATCCCTGGCCCCTTAACATTTCTTCCTTTTCATCTTACTTTTTTTGGTTTTTGAGACACAAGATGTGGTGTTCAGGGCTTACTCCTGACTCTGCTCAGGAATCACTCCTGGTGGTGCTCAGTGCTATGTACCAAACCTAGATTGGCCCATGCAAGGAAAATACCTTAAACCTTAACTAATATATTCTTAATATTATATATTCTTAATCAAAAGTCAAAAATAATCTAGTTTTACTTAGTCTAAGCATCTAATACACACACATATAAATCAATTTTATAAGATGGAGAGAAAGCTGAAATAACTAAATTCAAAAATGTGACTTGAATCACAATTCAATGCTTAATAATAAAGGAGAGCACATAATCATACCTTATTTTTTTCTAGTATTTCCAATGTCTGTTGATGTTGTTGGTAGAGTGGGTGTCTCCTATCAGGCTTAATCTTAAAATTAGACTTTTTTTTAGTTGGCTCTTCAAGTTCTAATGTTGGTGAACTAGTGTCCAACAGTTGTGAAATATTTGGCACAAATATGAAAGGCTTAAAAATAGATCTAAAAGAAAAAGGTCTTTATTAAATTAGCACATGGAGAGGTAACATTGTTATCCTAAGTTTTCTAAGATTTCAACTAGTTAGAGGTATCTATTAAAACACTACCTACTAACATTTTTCGGACACACCCGTTACGCCTGTCTCTATCATCCCTAGTATACTGGGATCTCCTCTAGGTCGGAACCATGTGCTCCTTAGCTTTACATTCACTTGAACAACCTGGCACATATGAAAATAGCAGACTATGGGGGTATGATGCCTCCAACAAGTCAACCTATACCTGCAGGATGAGTGCATCAGCAGCCTGATGGTGTCTTCAGGCTTTCTAATACCCTCAAATTGCCTTTGGCCGGACCCCAACAACTTGGGGCCAAGTTTACCAAGAAATTAAATGGCCAAAAGTTAGGTATTTGGGAACCATGCCCACAAACTACCTCCAGCTCAGCTATATACGCTCATTTATTGGCCTTATTTCAGAGACCCATAAATAAATCTCGAAAGAGATCAAAAGCCACAGTTAATCTCAGATCTGTGCATGGCTAAATGTGACTTTATCAGGTAAATAAAGAAATAAAATAAAGAAATAAAAATAAAATAATAAAATATCGGGTAGGGAAAGAAAGACCAGGGTAAATCAGAGGGGGGCAGGTTAGTCTGGTACCCACTCAAGCAGAGTCCCCAGCAACCACTTGCTTTCACAATCCATACTCCCGGCCCGACTCCACCGTCTCAGGACAGACCTCACCAAGATATAACCTGCTGAAAACTAGGGTATGCAGGTTTTGTGACTGAAATCTCCAGGTTTTCTCAGAGTTGGGATGGGCTACTTCCCCCCACTTCCCAATACTCCTGGAATCAGTGGCAATCACCTCCACAAACCAACTCCAGCACCACCATGTAAGCTCTACTACCAGCCTTGCTTCAGAGACCTATAAATAAATCTCAAAGGAGATCAAAAGCTGCAGTTAATCTTGGATCCAGCATGGCTGAACAGACCGGGGTAAATCGGAAGAGGGCGGGTTGGCCTGTGCCCACCCAAGCAGAGCCCCCGGCAGCCACTTGCTTCCACAATCCAAAAGCGCCGCCACACCTCCAGCCTGATTCCACCATCTCAGGACAGACCTCACCAAGATAGAGTCTGCTGAAAATTCAGGTATGTGTGTTTTGTGACTGAAATCTCCAGGCTTTCTGGGGTCAGGATAGGGTACCTCCCCTCACCTCCCTGTACTTACAGAAGCCTAGTCAGTCACATCTACACCCCCAAAGCAGCCACCAAATTGAAAAGCTATTCCAGCCTTACAGTCCCGATAAAAATACCAAATGCCCTGAACAAACACTATGATTTCTTAGCACCTGTACTGCAAATCAGAATGCACAAAAGGGAAAGAAGAGAGAGAGAGAGCAAGAAGGAAAATGCCTCCAACACAGGGAGGCTGAGAGTGGGGGGATGAGGTGTTGGGGGATGGTGGTAGGGAGACAAGGGACAACAGTGTGGGAAATGTACACTGGTGGAAGGATGGGTGCTGGATCATTGCATGACTAAAACCCAATTATGAATAGCTTTGTAAGGATCTATCTCACAGATACTCAATTTAAAAAAAATTTTTTTAAAAAAAGTAATGTGGATGGGGCTGCAGCGATAACACAGCAGTTAGGGCATTTGCTTTGCACATGGCTGACCCGGGTTCGGTTCCCAGCATCCCATATGGTTCCCTAAGCACTGCCAAGAGTAATTCCTGAGTGCAGAGCCAGGAGGAACCCCTGTGCATCACCGGTGTGACCCAAAAAACAAAAATAAATAAATAAATCTTAAAAAAAAAAAAGTAATGTGGAGTTCGTGCCCAATTCAATCAGCTTAACCAATGGCTGAATAAATAGCAGTACTCCTACATTAAAGTGAAAAAAGAAAGAAAGAAAGAAAGAAAGAAAGAGAGAGAGAAGAGAAGAGAGAGTGAGAAGGAAGGAAGGAAGGAAGGAAGGAAGGAAGGAAGGAAGGAAGGAAGGAAGGAAGGAAGACAATCGCAGACTAGGGGCCAGAGAGATAGCACAGTGGGTAGGGCACTTGCCTTGCATACATCTGACGTGGGTTGGATACCCAGAATCTCATGTGTCCCCTGAGCACCATCAGGAGTTATCCCCAAGTGCAGATCCAGGAGTAACCTCTGAGCACCATTGGGTGTGCCTAATTCTCCCCTACCCCCACCAAAAAAATAGACTAAACCTGAATGGAAAGTCTATCTGGAAACTGTTGTCACCTCTGTGAAACAAAACTTAGCTTCACAAAATCATCAACAGATTAATGACAACCCTCCACCAGGTCTTTGCCAGGCTAGAAGGTTCTGTAACTTTACCTTTCCGGATCAGGAGTGCCTGTAAAGAAGTGAATGCAAGGCAGTGTTGAGTCTTGAGGTAAAATAGAGACCATGCTTGCAGTTGTCTGGAATTCTCCTTCCATATTAATACCACTTGGCTTATCTCGGAGAATTTCCATCATCGTTTCAAAAGTTATGTTTCCTAAGGAAGTAATTTTTAAAATCATCAGGTTGATATCCTGCAAATAAAAACTATGTTCTTTATTGATAGTATATAATATTCTAGGTATAAATTAATATTTATAATGACTATAAACTAATTCCTGTTACAAGATGTTTATATAAAATATACAAAGTATCAGAACTTGATGGGTGACCCTTTTATGCACCAGAGTTAAATGTGGGAACACCAGAGCAGAACTGTATGTGATCGGGACATACAAAAGAATCTCCAAACCAAGCAGCTCGCTGTAGAGATGCCTCTGGACTTTAAGCAAGGCTGACTTCACCAGGGTGCCTCAGACAAGGCAGGCATCATCCCTCCACCTGCCCCTTAAGAACCCCCTGCGACTGCCAACTTCCAGAACTCAGTGAAAAGTGCAGGAACGCAAAATCAGTGATGACAAACTTTAGGTCTCAAGGGATAGGGGATGAACTGGTTGCTCTCATACCCTGCCCCCCACCCCCATACCCATGGGATCTTGAAGGTCACACCCACAAACTGCCTCTGGCTGCCATTTAAGCTCCTTGACGGCCAGGATTCAGAGACACACAAAAGAATCTTCAAACCTAGCAGCTCGCTGTAGAGATTTCTCCAGACCCTGATCACAATCACGATCATCCTGTTGTTTGTCACTTGCCAGTAACGTCTCCTTCGTCCTAACCCTGAGATTTTAAAAAGTGCCATATTCAAGGCTCTTTCAGGGTTAGGAAAATGAGACCCATGATTGTTACTGGTATTTGGCATATTGGGTATGCCATGGGAAGTTTCCCAGACTCTGCCGTGTGGGCAGGTTACGTTCGATAGCCTGCCAGGTTCTCCAAAGTAAGAATGAGATAATAAGATGTTGCATGGCCACAAATGCGGCCGCGCACTTCCAGGAGCTGGGTTTTATAGTCTCTGGGTCTTAGCCATTGATGGGATTACACAGACCCATCATCTCCAGACCCTAACTATCTAAAATTTTAGAATTCCAGGACATCTTATGCTATTCATAACAAGCAATACAAAGGAGAGTATGGGGGAGATTGTCTACCATAGAGGCAGGGAGAGGGGTGGGATGTGGCTGGGGACGTGGAGGGGGGAACTGGGGACCTTGGTGGTGAAAGATGTGCACTGGTGGAGGGTTGGGTGATCAATCATTGTATGACTGAAACTCAAGAAAGCTTTGTAAGTGTATCACACGGTGATTAAAATAATAATAATAATAGTAATAATAATAATAAAATTAAAAATAAATAAGATAGACAGCATTCAGCCGAAGAGAAGGACAACATGGAGGGCGGGATCCACAGATCCCGAAGGGAAAAAAAAAAAAACAGGTTCCAAAAAGAGCCGAGATCATCGGGAAGCCCCAGATGGGGTAGGTACCGCATTCCGCCTCCCCCAGATGGAACCCCGGTGACCAGAAGCCTCTACAACCACAGCTCGAGTATGCGGGAACTAGGACTTTTCCTCAAATCTGCCGGGACTACAACTCCCAGGTAACCTCAGATTCCAGAAGTCACGCCCACAGCCCGCCCCCCAGCACCATATTTACAGCATTCAGCCGAAGAGAAGGACAACATGGAGGGCGGGATCCACAGATCCCGAAGGAAAAAAAAAAAACAGGTTCCAAAAAGAGCCAAGATCATCGGGAAGCCCCAGATGGGGTAGGTACCGCATCCCGCCTCCCCCAGATGGAACCCCGGTGACCAGAAGCCTCTACAAGCACAGCTCGAGTATGCGGGAACTAGGACTTTTCCTCAAAACCACATAAGCGGCCGCGCGACATCTCTCTATATACAAAGTGATCCATGGGAAGTAAACCACCCAACGTTTCTCTCTGAAAATCATAGTTAAGTTTGGAGCACGGCCACAGCCCCAGAAACACAAGGACTTAATGCATAACCCAGCAGCTTGGAGCAGAAAAGTGAACGGGCTATGCGTTAATCCAGGCCATCATGACTGTCCAGAGGGGAAAGGGTGTTGCCCCATTCGCCCTCTCCTCTCTGGAAAGAAAGATGGCGGCCACATGGGAGCCTTGTGAACAGCAGGTATGAGCCGGGGGACTGGGGGCGACTAAAACCTCATGGGAAAGGGGGCGTTTCGGTCTGCCCTTCACACCCTACCGAGGCCACCAGTTGCCCCCCACTAGTGGTCTCCAGCATAGCCACGACTCCAGAGCACAGAAACCAATTTCTTAACTATCTGACTTTCAGTAGAAATACTTCCAGGGTCAATAAGTAAAATAGCAGAAATCCAAAACCAACATATAATTCTTGAACCCAGCTGTAGAAAGCAAATCACTTCACAATGCTTTGTCAGCATGTCTGATCTGGGGGGGGGGGGGGGTAAACTCTAAATAATAGTGGTGAATCTTTTATTGAAACAATGAATCTAATCAAAGCAGATAGAGTGTTAACTAGAATTCATCTGCCCCACAGGGACTGGGAGGGGTGGGGGGTGGGGTTTTATTGGGGTTCGTCATGGTAAAAAATAAGTTTTGGTAAAGGGAAATGTGCTTGATATTTGCATGACTGAGACCTAAACCTGAAAGCTTTGTAACCTTTCCCATGGTGATTCAATAAATAAATAAATAAATTTAAAAAATAAAAAAAAATAAAAATAAATAAATAAATAAATAAATAAGATAAAATTAGAAGTGTATGTGATCCTTGGTCAATTCTCGTAAACAGGTGGAAAATGCACAAATAAATCAAAGAACATGTAAAGGGGGTATGGTGCCAGCAGGTCAATCTGTACCTGTGAGGCGAGTACATCAGCAGCCTGATGGCACCGTCAGACTTTCAGATACCCCAAAATTGCTGCTGTGCCTTTGGCCAGACCCCAAAAACTTGGGGCAAAGTTAACCAAGAAAGTAAACGGACAAAAATTAGGTATGTGGGAGACACACCCACAAACCACCTCCAGCTCAGCTATATATTTGGAGGCATGGCCTCTCTGGTTCCTGATCAAACTGCTTTACGGCCATGATCCCACAGACTCAGAAATGAATCTTGGAACCCAAAGGCTTTTGGCAGAAATGCATCCTGTTCCTGCAGTAGGTTAGTTACTGGTGCTGGGCCACTCCAGGTGGGAATAGGTTTGTGCTTTGGCCTGTTCTCCCTGGCGGCCCAGTACCACCATCCTCCAGAGGCCACTGGACAGTCAGGTTTGGGCCTGCAGTGACGAGACACGTGGGGCCTCACAGATGGGGGTGGGACCGGACCTTTCCTCCCCATCCCAACGAAACCCCAAGTCACTGCCTACAAATGGCCTCGCTGGCTCCTGATCAAGCTGATTAATGGCCATGATCCCAGAGACTCAGAAACAAATCTCAAAACCCAGCGGCTATTGGCAGAAATGCATCTGGACCGCATACACGTGGCCGCCGCCTCAGCTTATTGGAAAGTCAGGTATGAGCTGGCGGTGACAGGGCAACTGCAGTCTCCTGGGAAGGGGGGGCAGTACCGGCTGGTCCTTCATGCCCTACTGAGGTCACGAGTTGCCCCCCACGAGTGGCTCTCTGGCCTGGCCATGGCTCCAGAGGCAAAATGACTTAATCCAGAGCCCGGCAGCTTGCAGCAGAAAAGTGAATGGACCAAGCGTTAAACTACGGTGCCATGCTTCCCTGGGAGGGAAAGGGTGTTGCTCCCTTCCACCTTCCCCCCTCCCCATCCCCCGGCAACAAGGTGACCACCGCCTCAGAGCATATAGGAAAGCCAGGTATGAGCCGGTGGTGACAGGGCAACTGCAGTCTCATGGGAAGGGTGGCGGTACCAGCTCATCCTTCATGCCCTACCAAGGTCACGAGTTGCCCCCCATTAGCAGCTCTCCGGCACGGCCATGGCTCCAGAGGCAAAAGGACTTAATCCAGAGCCCGATAGTTTGTGGCAGAAAAGTGAATGGACCATGAGTTAAACTACAGCGCCATGCCTCCCCGGGAGGAAAAGGGTGTTGCTCCCTTCCGCCTTCCCCCCCTCCCACCCCCCGGCAGCAAGGTGGCCGCCACCTCAGAGCTTATAGGAAAGCCAGGTATGAGCCAATGGTGACGGGGCAACTGCAGTCTCATGGGAAGGGGGGGCAGTACCAGCTCGTCCTTCACGCCCTACCGAGGTCACGAGTTGCCCCCCACGAGCGGCTCTCCGGCACAGCCATAACACCAGACCCACAGAAACCAATCTCATAATTATCTGGCTCTTTGTAGAAATCCAAAATCATTATATGATGCTCATAACAGGCTATAGAAAATAAAGTATTTCACAATGCCTTTTCAGCAATTCTGATTGTTGGGGGGGGGGGGATTCTAAACAATAATGGTGCATCTTTTGTCAAAATAATGAATGTAATCAATGTAGAGAAAAGTTAAGTAGAAATCATCTGCCTCACAGGCATTTGGAGGGGTGGGAGGGGGTATATTGGTGTTCTTAGTGGTGAAAAATGAGTACTGGAGAAGGGAAAGATGTTTGATCATTGTATGACCGAGACTCAAACTTGAAAGCTTTGTAACTTTTCCCACGGTGATTCAATAAATAAATATAAGAAGAAAAAAAGAACATGTAAAAAGAATTTTATGCCATAATGTTTACTCCAGTGATACAGATTTATTTAAAAACTGAAGTAGGGGTAGAAGAGACAGTACCATTGGTAGGGTGCTAGCCATGCATACAGCTGACCAGGGTTCAATCCCCAACACTCCATATGGTTCCCTACAAAAAGAAGTGATCCCAAAGCAAAGAGCCAGGAGTAAGTCTTGGGCACCACTGGATGTGCATCCCCCAAAAAAAAGAACAAAAAAAACATTCTTAATTATTTGATGAACATCCTATTTTCATTTCCAAAGGGAATAACTCTGGGCTGTTTGGTGGAAATCAAATGCATTGATCTGAGTATCTGCACTGCCCTTTGTCATATGAATAGCATCTTAAAAGATGTATTCCCTATAATACGATACAAAAACAAGTAATTGTACTTTAAAAGAGAGGGAAAAAAACTTGTAA